GGGTTCTCATCTATCGTTCACTGCATAGTGAACGATCTGTTCTGCCCACAGACACTCCACCTCTGGGAAAGTCTGTGTGTTCCCGGCATTGTTGGGTGCCGGGTCCCCAAAAGTGCAGTGCTTCTTTGTACCGCGCTCATTTCTCTGTTGCCTTTCCATCTGGAAAAGGGTTCTCTTCTGTTGTTCACTGCATAGTGAACGATCTGTCTTGCCAACAGACACTCCACCTCCAAGGGAAGGTCTGTGTTTTCCTGGCGCTGTTGAGTGCCAGGTCATCAAAATGCGCGGTGCCTCTCTGCACCGCGCTCATTTCCTTATTGCCTTCCCATCTGGAAGGCTGGCCCTTTCTAAGGAAAGGGCTTCTCTCTATTGTTAACTTCATAGTGAACAAGCTGTCCCACCGACGGACAAGCCACCCCCAACAAAAAACCCGTGTCTGAATGATCAGACACGCTCATTCCTGCCCAGTTTCATGGGCAATGCTTCCATTCTGTTGCTCTTGTGGACAGAATGACTTCTTCACTCTCCTAGATGATTATCTAGGGAGGAGCAGGTCGCTGCTCAGACCTCTGGCCCACACTCAAGTGTGGGGGGAATTTTTCCTTATTTTTTTAACCTAGATTCCTAGGTTGAATTTTCAACTACTCCCCCAGACAACTGTCTAGGGAGGAGAAACAAACCTGTGCCGCTCTTTAGTGGATATTTTTGCAGGTCAGCATCATGCTGACTCATTATTATCTTACTCCCCAGACATTACTCCCCAGACAACACTCTAGGGAGGAGCGGCCTCAGTGACCTTTGGAATCACTGGCCATCACTGAGGTATTGACCTTCGGTGAGTTACCTGTGTCACACCTTCGGGTTTGGACTCACTGACTATCACCGGGGTATTAACCTTCGGTGGGTTACTTCCATCACTGGAGTATCAACCTTCAGGTTGACTGCTTCATCTCTTGCTGGGTGGAAGCCATGATGCCGCAAACTTGTGGGCATTATAAACTCAACTGCACAGTATGTGCCCAATCCCGCAGCGGACCAATTCAGGTGTCACTGCCTTTTCTTATCAACAACAATGCCGTTGTTGGTTCTTTTCCTTTCCTTTTTTGGATTTTCGACGGTGACTCAACTGTTACTCTAGCTTGTCATATTGACACTTGCTACTTCATCGTCGACAATGCTGTTGTCGAGAGCTGGGTACATATGTTCCAGGAGAAACTCTAAGTGGGCTTTGCCTACAAACTACTACTATAGCCTCCTGCAATGAGTGTACCCCCGCTTGCATACATTCTTCGTATGTAGAGTGTTATATTTCCTTAATATGCTTGCTTTCCCTTTCATATGCTTGTACCCTGTCTGCGATTCAATATCGCAAGGGAGGAGGATGTAAGGGATTAACCTTACTTCACTATAATTCCGATTATAGTGATATTTATATTATGTTGCATCGCTATAATTCCCATTATAGTGATGTGGTTATTTCTTTATTTATTTGTGCCGAGATATGTAATTTACATATATATACCTTGGAGTAGTTGTAAAGGCCCAGTAGCCTTTTACCTCTACCCCGTTGAATATACAGCACATTAAAGCTTATATTTAGACGGACTACCTGAGGCCTGAGGTGAACGGGGGAACGGAACGTACCGTCCCCAAAATAGTAAGATAACCTTTCATCATCGCTGGCCGCTGTGCAGCCAACCCCACTCCTTGTTCCCTTTTGCTTCTGGACCCTTCAGCCTTTGGCCCGGGTCCGCTTCCATTCATTCTTTCTCCCTATATATATCCTGTATGTTACTTTATTGTACCTTAGCTCTAATATCAATTTGACCACAACCTCTTAAGTCCTGACCCCAGCATGGCAACCCCAGTAAGTCTGAAATGAGGGCCAAGAGACAGCTAGGGGGCACAGCACTCCTTTAGAGTCGCTGAGGCCAAATGCCCTACCCTCGGGCCTTGTTCGCAGCATCATGGCCATCACAGCCTATAGTGGCCCGCTAACAGCAACCTTCGGTGCCAACCCTGGACCAGTGTCTAACACCACCTCCACTTATACCCATTGTATTGGTTAGCTCATTCCATTTGCCAATATTCCGGAGTTTAACTTCCAAGTTCGGACTTTCCAGACTTACTTTGGACCTTGCAACTATTGCATTGCTCCATTCAATTCCGCTATTCTCCCTCATTTCTATTTGGGCTGCTGCTTCCTTTCTATTCAGTCAGCTGGCCATTCCCCACTCCCTTCCTCCTTCCTTCCTCCTTGGGCCTTGGCCCTTCACTCCTCCTTTGGGAAACACCATTGAGTCAAACCCTTGACCCTTGGTGTTGTTCCTCCTTCCAGCTCCCTTTGTCTCCTTTCAGAGGCCCCTTGCTCCTTTTGATTCCGGACCCCTCCTTATATATGTACAATGTACTTAGTAACTTGTAACCTCAGTCCAAAATCAACTTGATTCCCCCCTAAGAGACTTTCCCTCTGCTAAATCTGAAATTAGGGACCCCCAGGACAACCAGAAATGGCACAGCACTCCACCTGAGTTGCTGAGGCCAAGGTCCTTCCATGCTAAGCCTCCAACCCCACTCCGGAGTTGTCCAAACCCACCATACCTAACAGATTGGACTTCCCCACAAAACCCAACCTCCTCTTGACCATGTCTACATGATAAATCCCTGTTTTGTCATGTATTTGACCAAAATCATGTCGTAAAATCTTGTCTTTCCAGAAATTTAATCAGTTTATCCTGACAAAGCCATGATAGTGTCAGGGGACGACTCCCAGGTCCCCATGACCCTCCCCTATGGTCCACAGTCTCTAGTGTAACCAGCCCTGTCCAGGGCACAACCTACTGTGGGTCAGAGATGAGAAGGAAGTTAACTTCTTATCTTCCCACAGTGGCCACAATAGATTGAAAACTTCTGGAGATATCTGGAAGTCACATGAGACCCAAGGTCCGGGCCATCTGGCCACACTGAGCATTGAAAGAGGGCTCGCGGCTCTCTATGCCAACTAAGCTCGTGGGGCCAAACTCCCTAAACTCCTACTTTCTTGACTGAACTTCACTATGCTCAATCCTTAACTCTGGTGTGGGTTCTCCGGGATTCCGCAAGGTCCGGGCTCAACTAATCTACTACCCACTCGTTGTGGGCTAGACAGTTGCCCTTATTCCTACTGTTGGATTCCACACACTCACTCCAACTCTAGTGCATCCTAGCACCTTAGAGAAATTGGGGGAGGGGAGAACTCCTATTCCAAAATCCGGTATGTACAGGATATAATTGATGGGAAATATTGGTACCATATGGCACCTGCATACCTTATTGGGCGAAATAATAAAAAAAGGTAACAGTAACAATAAAAGAATATTGATCAATAACTGAAATGATGGCAAAATATGAAAATAAAAGAAAATAAGCGATATCTCAACGGATTTACGGAATTAAGAACCGAAATTGGAAATGCAGCCGGAGATAACTCTCACACAGCCGATAAGCATTTTTACCAATTTATTAGACGCCGTGGGAACGAGTGAGGCTGGAATTCTGGGTTGCCGCTTGAGATTCCCACGCCCGCACATACTCGTGACCTGCCATGCCTAACATGCCCAACATAGAACTCCGTCAAACCTCCACCGATTGGGACGTTCTTGGTATCGTCAGAATCGTACGAATTAGGACTATTTTTGGGTACCAAATTTGTACCGAGTCGTCGCATGAATGAAAGTTGTTTTCTGATCATGGAAGTGGGTATCCGAGCCGAGTCTGTGTGTGGGTGATTATCCTGCCTACAGCGTCCAGCACAGGGTGCGCGCAGGAAGTGCAACAGCCAGGTGTGGGTGCAGGTGCGGGTGTGAGTGTGGGTGTGGATGTGGGTATGGGCTAGGTCAGGGTGTATGCCCTGACAGATAGTATCCGAGTTGTGAGGAATCCTGACATTAATCATGTATTCATCAAGGACTTTATCTAATTGTAAGCTCAGCAAGCATGCTATATTACATCTGAGCAGAGAAGGTATGCAAGGATTGATGCAGGTGGACGTGGGAATGGGAAGAAGAACATTCAAGTTTCTAGCAGTGTCATATCCATCCCTGGCCACGACTTCCGGTACCTCCGATCCCTCCGGTCTACCTCTGCTCCTTCTCCACTAACCTCGGAGCTTCCATATTCCGCAATCCCCTCGGTACCCCTCGATGGTCACCACCCCCTCCTTTCAATTTATTACCTATGCCTCCCTAAGTACGGAGCCCCAAAGACTTCCGGACAGCTCCAATGTCTGCTAGCACACTCCCACCTCCGTTGGGCAATACACTCGCCTGCCCTGCAGAGCCCACCTTTGGGCCTATCCCTCCTTTCCGTTTCTGGGTTATTGCCTGCCTTTCCGTTAACCCCGCAACCCGACTTGTCAGTAATATTCAGTCGGCTAATGTTTAACCCTGTTAGCTCCGCTCCGTTCAGCTCCGCCATTTGCGGACCCGTCTTCGCTGTAACCATATATATATCCAACTTGTACATAGGTTACACTTCAGTAATAAAATCGACTAGAGTTTACCCCCTTTCAGTTCTGGTTGCCAGTTAGTAAGTTAGGGCATGGACGTGTTACTTGGCACAGCGCTCTTGGCATAAGTCGCTGAGGCCGAAGCCCTCCGCCACAGAGACTTTCCCTCGTCTCAACCTGGTCTCTGACAAGCAGTACAAAATGATGAAGGGTTAGCAGTGCAAAGGTATGGTACAAAAATGGTGAAGGGAGGGACTGTGGTACGAGGTGCAAACATCATGCATCTTAACATAAAAATTAGACAATCAGCAATGTGATGACAAATGATTGTTCTTACCTCCCCTCTGACCTGAACTCCTCAAGCTTTCACATCTAGTTCTTGCTTGCACATCCTGGCTCATGCTCCTTAGGCTTGCATGCCTACCTCCGCATTGTGGACTATTTCCATAAGGTGTGCCTAGAGAATAATTTATAAGCAGTAAAGACAGAGGGCAGAACACTGAGTACCTTTCCCTCATCTTGCACCAGCATGTTTGTCATAGTGCTTTTTCAAACCTTTGCTACTGTGCTCAAGCTCATTCTCAATAAGGGGCCCAGTTTTTTTTGGAAGGGGACATGCTATTTGAAAATAAGCATGTTGGAAGAGTGGGTGATAATTTCACTTGCATTTTGGCCTTGGCACTGCAATTAGTGTTAGCAAAATACACCAATGCACACATGAGGGTAAGAATAAAGATGTGCCTTTGGCTAGAGTTGCGGTAGATTTTGATGCATCGTCAGTTTTGTCTCCACTTGCATGACTCGTGCTGCACTGATCGTCACTGTTGCTCTCATCTTCATCAGAGACGTTGTTGCTGTGATGACCAGTATGAAGATGACCTATCCACATCGTTAAGGGCCAGCAGTACAAAAGATGTATGATACTTGCACTTGGGAGCATGGGGAATTTCTATCCGATTTTGTGAGTTGTAACTGAGAACGAATCCACTCCACTCACCTTCATCGATCACAGGATTACCCATGGAACTATTCTTCAGGGGCATATGCAAGTGAATCCTTCTGATAGATTTCGGTTCTAAATAGAAGTTTCACTACATATGTCCTGAGTGGGTTGATCGTTCAACAGCTTACCCTTGACTTGATGGTTTACTTGGGTGTGGTGTCTTGTTGAATCAGTGTGGGATTGCCCTGCCCTCTTTGTTCCTACATGTTTGGCAAGACAAAAGCCAAGTGTGAACAGAAAATATGAATGGTTGAAACTCTTACCTTCCTTTGGTGCCTTTTGAGGAAACTTTGGGTTTTCCACATGTTCATCACTCTCATAGACTTCATCCAATTCACTATGGCCATCATCCTTGAGGCAGGTCTTGTCTGATTTCACATGGTCATCTCCTAATCTAGACTGGTTGCTCCCCAGCTCAGTGTCACTATCACTCATGCCATTGAGTGTCGCAACATTGATTCCCCTTCAATTCTGAGGGAGATTCCTATTTGAACTCACTGGTCCTATTGACTGAGAGAGCAAAAGGCATGTCAGCAGTGGTAAATGGTGATCAGAATGATGCTGGACTTTGCAGCAAGGATGCACCAGAAGAGCTCACCAAGGCCAACGAAGTGCACCTGGAAGATTGGATGGAGTTGGTCAATAAATATAAGGCAGATGCAACTTTTTGGCATCATAATGAATTTTGTACGTTTTAATTCTCTGATGTTTGACATCATGATCCGGAGCAATATATCTAGCACAACATACAATGTGTCAGGGTTCAGCACCCTGCCCTAGGGTGCCCCAGACTCCCCAACCACTCCCTTCCTTCCATTCCTTCATTGTTGCCTTGTTGCCTTTCTGTGTTGTGTATCCATGTGCATGGGTGTCAGGGCACATACCCTGACTTAGCCCGGACCCGGACCCGCATCTGGACCCACTCCACTTCCCACACACGCTTCCCACACCACATGATCCATGCACCGCATGCTCTGGTCCCTGGATCCTGCCTTCATGTGACTTCCAGGTATCCCCGGAAGTTTTCCTCATATTGTGGCCACTGTGGGAAAGTGAGAAGTAACCTTCTTCTCACTTTCTTACCCACAGCAGTTGTGCCTTGAGACTAGGCTGTTTACAGTTAGGTTGTGGGTTGTAGAGAGAGGGGTCATGGGGACCCGGGGTCCATCCCCTGACAACGGGATTTACTGGGCACTGCCACCTGGATGTTCCCTCCGGGTCACACTACACAACTCTAGGAGCTGTATAGTTGTGGGCATGTGACCCATTCCTTTATATAGCAACCATGCAGGGAGATGAGACCTTTACCCTTCTTCTCATCTCATGCCCCACATAGTGTGAGGACAGGTTATGGGGGTCGGCAAGTGAGGTTAACTTCATAGTCACTTATGTAAGCAACTCATGCTTGAACTGTGGTCCAACCATTGCAATGGCAGTTGGTCTCAACACAAGTAGTCAAGAAGAAAACAAACAATGTATTATGATAGGAAATATGCAACTCTATAAATTTAATGCTTGATTGGTGCAAATTAGTCAGTTATATGGTGAGATCAAGGGGGGAGATGGCAGTCAAACTAACCCATTGTTGAACTGTCCATGGAATGGTGATTATGATACCATGAAATAACTTTCTTTAATAAGTCCTTCCTTGGCCCAGCGTGGAGGTTCCTAACAGGCATTTTTGGACCATTGTCAGGGGACATAGTGTAAGTGGTTCTCTGTTACCCTATCGATATTGTGTAAGACTATATCACTGCATGTAGCTGCATCAGCCCTCATATATCATAAATCCCTCACTGTCAGGGCACACACCCTGACTAGCCCAGACCCGGACCCGCATCCAGACCCGCTTCCACCCACCGCGCTTCCTGCACGCATGCACACTCTACGTGCCACATGCTCCAGGCCCGGTTCCTACCCCTTCATGTGACTTCTGGGTATCCCCAGAAGTTTTGCTGATATTGTGGCCACTGTGGGAAGATGAGAAGTTAGCTTCCTTCTCATTTTCTTACCCACAGTAGGCAAATTGTACATACTTGCCCTTCATTTATATCATCTTCTTACCCACAGTAGGTTGTGCCCTGGATAGGGCTAGTTACACCAGTAGGCTGTGGACTATAGGGGAGGGTCATGGGGACCCAGGAGTCATCCCCTGACACTCACCTTCTCCTGATCCGACTCTGCCCCTTTGATCCAAGTGTCCCTTCATTTCTATTCACTTTGTTTTCTATCAGATCACTGTTTAGTTCCTTTGATCCTATCTCTCCCGATTGATTGATGTCACTCGTGTATATAGCTCTATGTGCCACTGAGGGTTGGAACCTCAGCTTTGTCTATGACTAGGTTTTCAGGTGATATTTGACTCGGACTGACGAGCGATCCCTGACAACCATCTTCACCTATAGATTGGCATTCAGTATGTCAACTTTGGTGATATCTAGGATGAGTTCTGTTGTCTATCCAGCTTGTCCCTCCTTCCCTTTTTTTGCTGCCTCCTCCACCCAGCGCTTCTCTGCTTCTTGAACCCCAACCGAAAGTGGTATCTTTTCTTCTTATATGAGGAACGTGGAACTGACCCCATTTAACTAGATATCCTTTTGGAGGACCCTCTGTACAGCCCAATGAACAAATTCAAAGAGATTTGGCTGATTCTGGGACAAGTGCAATGCAATATTGTCAGGAGCCAGGTCTGATTTCCTTATTGATATCAAGGGTAATCCTCGGTGTAAATAAAAATAAATAAGAATCTTCGCTGAAGTTTATCGATGGCACAACTCAGTTTGGGGTTCATTTGATTGTAAAGCATGTTTTGGTTGGAATAAATTCTCTTCAAATGAGTTCCGAGAGGCACCATGTTATAGGAATGGACCTAGAATCTTATGGTCCGTGACTATGAACAATCAAGCCTTTGGTCCCTTCACCTTTATTTCACTGTCAAACCCCATGCCAAGCTTTCCCACTGGGTTTTGGTGCTGGCTGGGGAATTTGTTGAGTTTCAAGGGACTTCCCTTGACCATTGTGACTTTTATATTAGATAGTTAGAAGTCATATGATGTGTAAGGCAGATGCCGAAAAATGTCTTTCCTTATCTAATACATAACCCACAAAACCTTGTACCACAATTGTAACCGCCACACCATTGTGCCACCACTGTAAGCCTTCTCTGTAACATCTGAATTGGTCCATATCGATGTCTACATCGATATTCTTACAATCTGTGAGAAAACCTCATCGGCCTGGTGTAAGGGATTAACCTTACTTCACTATAATTCCCATTATAGTGATGTGTTTATTTCTTTATTTATTTGTGCCGAGATATGTAAATTACATATATATACCTCGGAGTAGTTGTAAAGGCCCGGTAGCCTTTTACCTCTACCCCGTTGAATATACAGCTCATTAAAGCTTATGTTTAGACGGACCTACTGAGGCCTGAGGCGAACGGGGGAACGGAACGTTACCGTCCCCAAAATAGTAAGCAACCTTTCACCTGGTGAGTGCTCAGACACTGGACCTCACTCTTCCCGCTCCCACCCCCCCACTGGGTGGTTGAGCTCCTATTCCTATCCTTCCTGTAGTACCCTACTGGGTCCTACAACCCTTCCTCCCTTCTTGGGAGGGAGAAGTGACCCAGGCAGCCCCAGGATGCCTGGCCACGTACCCGCAGGCCCAAATTCCCACGGTCACTCACTACCATGCACTGGTCAACCAACCTGTCTGTCCCAACAAATCCTGCTACCGGTACGCTCCCTTGAGTGCCAAGTAACCGATAGACAACCACTGGGCTACTTGTCAGGGCACACCCGCCTGACCCTACGCCGCACCCCGCGCCGTACCGCCCTACTCCGCTTCCCCACTGTCACCCTTTGTCTCCTCTCTCCCCCTTCCTTCTTTCTTTCTATTTCCTTCTATGGTCGACTTCCCTTTCTCTATGTATCACTAACACACCTAACCCCACTCCCCCGATTGCTGCGCCCGCCGCGTGCATTCCCGCTCACAGAGCGGCACACCTCTGGGATCTCCCACGGAGATGCCCAGGGGAGTGCGGCTGTGTGCGGGGATGACGTGGCTCCTCCCACGTGACCCTGACCACATGTATATAATAGCACCTGGGGTGGGAACAGAAGAAGCAGCCTTCTTCTCAACTTCCCACTTCAGCCTAAGTGGTCGGGGACGCTCACCCTGCGACGGGACCGCCACTACACATAGCCGACACTTGTCCCATCAAGTCCCTCACGCCGGGACCTCGCCGCTTTCGGAGCTGTCCCTGACACTACTCCCTCAAGGAGTGCCAACTACCCACGCTACCGGTACGCTCACATGAGCGCCAAGTCACCGCTAGCCAACTGTTAGATGGCTCCCTCAAGGAGTCCCCATTATACCCGCTGCCAGTACGCTCCTTGGAGTGCCAAGTTGCCGCTAGCCAACTGTTAGGTGGCTCCCTCAAGGAGCCCCCATTATACCTGCTGCCGGTACGCTCCTCGGAGCGCCAAGTTACCGTTAGTACACCCGGTCTCAGATCTCCTGCTCTCCCTTCAACGGCTACACAGCCACCTCTGTCCATGAGCAGAACGGCTCAGGTTGGGTTCCCCAGAACCCATTCCTGTAACACACCAGGACAAGAACAATGCTTTGGCTTTCCCAATTTTTCAGCACTGCAAAATTCTAATCCAACAAAAACATTCTGGTATGCTCTCTTAACAAACTTTAATAATGCCATTTTGTGGGATATGTTGTGTGGAAGGCACAAAACTTCTGCAATTTTTGTCCCATCTCGAGCTATCTGGTGCTTACATAAGCTGGCTGAAAGGTCAACATGGGTTGCCAACCCCCACAGGTTAGATGGGGGTTGAGGTCAGGGAGCCTCCGAGTCCGAGGCCGGGCCCTGACACTATGTTATTCAGTCACAATTCAAAGAACTTCAACTGAAGTCACTTTACCAACTTCACTTGCATATGTCAAGACTTTCTCATGTTATCAAACGCTCTTATGACTGTTGTATTAACAGTTGCTGCTGCTTTACTGCTGAGCTCGCCGGACTCGACAGTTGTCCAGACTGCAAACAATCACACTTCAGACCAAATAGCTATATCCCTGTCAAGACCTTCTGTTATCTCCCCATAGGGCCTTGTCTCAAGGCCCTCTACTTGAATAAATACTTTTCTGGACTTCTAAAATATCATGGGGCTCTCGATCTTGGAACTGGGACTGTCAATGATGTGTTTCATGGGATCCATTATATGGGTCTACTGAAACAACAAGTGCATCTCAATGGGCAGCAATACAGGCACCATTTCTTTGGCGATCATCAAGACATTGCACTTGGGATAATGACTGATGGATTTCAGATTTTCAAACACCAGCATGATGGCAGCACAACTTGCTGGCCAATTTCAACTTGCCGCCTGAGGTATGTACTAAGTTATCAAACATCATTCCTCTTGCAATAATCCCAGGACCAAAGGCACCAAAGGACTTTAACTCATTCCTATGGCCACTTGTTGATGACTGCAAGCAGCTAGCCTTAGGGGAATGGGCATTTGATGCTACCTCAGACGAAACATTCAAGCTGCAGGCATTTCCAATCTCTTGCCATGGTGACATGGTGGCTATGAAGTGTGTGATGAATTTAAAGGTCCTAATGGTATCTCTCCATGTGCAGTCTGCCACATTCAGGGCATTAGGAATGTCAATGGCTCAATAACCTACTATGTCCCCCACACTCCTCATGACCAACCCCAAATGTGCGATACATACTGGGATACTCAACATAACTTGGTCCGATCTTGTCAGAGACTGGATGTGGGATGAAGGAAGCATCCCCATGGTGGAGGGCTTTGGCCTCAGCGACTTAGACCAGGAGCACTGTGCCTAGTTACACATCTGTGCCCTAATTTACTAACTGGCAACGAGAACTTAGAAGAGGGAAACTCTAGTCGATTTTATCACTAGGGTGTAACCTATCTACAAGTTATGTATATATAGTTACATATGTAGAGGGTGGGCCCATGAATGGCAGGACCGAACAGAGCAGAGCTAACGGAGTTACATGTTAGCTGACTGAATATTATCAACGAGTCAGGTTACAGGGTTAGTGGAGTGGCAGACTATAACCCAGAAATGGAAAGGAGGGATCGGCCTGAAGGTGGGCTTGCAGGGCAAGCAAGTGAATTGCCCAGTGGAGGTGGGGGTGCACTAGCAGACGTCGGAGCTGTCCAGAGGCCTTTGGGAATCCATACTTAGGGAGGCGTAGGTAATATATTGGATTGAGGGGGTGGTGACCATTGAGGGAGTCAGAGGTGATTGCGGAATATGGAGGCTCTGAGGTTAGTGACAAAGGAGCAGAGTTAAACTGGAAGGACTGGAGGTAGTGGAGGATGATGGCCATGGATGGATATGACAGATCTGAGTCGGACTATTTCCAGACCCTCTCAGACATCAACTCTCTCCAAGGCAATGCCAGAGGTGTGAAGTCCAGACTTGCCAATATCCAACAACAGTCCGGTATAAATGGGAACTGCATACTCATGGAACTCCCATCTATCTCAATTACTTGTTCTTTCCCCCATGACTGGATGCATCTCTGCCTAGAAAATCATGCAAAAAATCTCGTTGCACCTTGGCAAGGTAAATATAAAGGTTTGGATGAGGGGAAGGAAAGCTATCAGATTTCCGAAGCTGTCTGGGAAAAAATCAGGCAAGAAACTGTTCAAGCTGGGACACAATACCCTCATCCTTTGGGTGCTGCACCCCAAATATCTGGACAGAAAAGCACAATTTCACAGCTGAAGATTGGGATTTCTGGATGATTCACATAGCACCATACATTCTCAGGGATCAGTTTAACCGCCTCAAGTATTACAAGCATTTCATGAAATTTAACTTGATCCTTAAACAGACAATCCAGTGTTCTTTCATGGAGCAGGATCTGGGGGAGCTTGAGGAAGACATTGTTGAGTATGTGAAAGAATATGAAAGATGAATCCTGTCAGGGCCTGGCCCTCGTTCCACGACGGGCCCAGGGGGGTCCTCCTAGTCGCTGGGGTGTCTAGTCCCAGTCCAAGATCTTCGAACTCACCGAGGGGGCTAGCCCCAGCCTTCACAGGAAATGAGTTGCTGCGCATTTAGGGAGAAGGTAGTTACACTTGCCTTCACAGGAAATGAGTTGAGAAGAAGGGTAACCTTCTCAACCTCCTGTGAAGCCGCTACAAATGGGAGTCGGGAACTATACAGTTTTCGGCTCTTTGCCGACTTTCCATAATTGGCACCCCCCCGTGGGAAGATTCTGGGCGAGCTGCTCACCCAGAAAGTTCCCACGGTTGTGGCTGTGATGGTTTCTGGGCGAGTAACTCGCCCAGAACATTCCCACGGGTCTGCATGCATGCGGGATTGTGGAACAGTGAAGGGAAAAATAGGAGAAAATGGGGGGAGGGTACCTGAGGGTGTGTGGGGTCAGGGGCTGTGCCCTGACAAATCCCTTTTGCTGCTTGAGTTTGTGCATGGAACAATACATTAAGTTTTCTAGCATTTACTACCAATTTTCAGTTCAGCGTTTGCCTGCATGCCCCCTCACTGTCCATGCACTTCTTCATATCCCATACAACATTCGAAACAATGGGCCACCATGTAACAATTGGACCTTTATCATGGAGCATTGGTGTGGCTCGCTTTTACCCAGCATCAAGTCTCAAAAGCAACCTTTTATATGTCTCACACTAAGGCAGTATCACACAGCACAGTTATTTGAGGTTGTAAACCACTACAATGTAACTCAGCTGATGCCACTGAGACATGACATGAATGTCCCTTCATGGCATGAGAAACTATTTTTGAAGTCAGCTTGTGCACTGTTTTTTGATTGTCCAGTCACTTTAGCTAATGTTTTTGCAGATCTTATCTCTTTTTTTTACGCAGGGCTGTCGAACAGAAACATATTCCTGACATGACCATTCAAAAGAAAATCGCTAAACACATGAAGACCTCTTTCGGTGGCTCGATCGGAGCCTGGTTGGACATCCTCCCACAAATAATGGAACACTGGGCAAAAGTTCACATTGGAAATGGGGGTGATCTTATTCAAGGGAGCATTGCACAGATGAGCAGCAAGCAGGGTCTCCACAATGCATCTTTTGTCCATGTGAGTGGCCACAACTTTAGTTCACAGAACTCAAGGGACTATTTTGCTTGAAAGTATGAGCTAAACACCGACTCAAATGCCCACTGTCCACAAGCCAAAGAAGATTTTGTCCGTACCATCTACTATGGGCATCTTGAGTATATCCTTCAGTGCACCCTCCCACCAAACCCAATATCCAAAAATACCAAGCCTGAAACCGTTCTTTTAGGCATCTTGACCACTTGCAACACTCAGCAATGCGATGCGACACTGAGGCTGACTTATTTCAAGACCATGATGTTGTACATCGAAATTGTGGACTTAGCTGCAATCTGCACAGTCATTGGGCGCATTCAAACTGGTACCACAGATCCTTGGTGGGCGATAGTTGATCAAAGTGGTTCCTGGGCTCACACCGTCTTTACAGATGACTTGCTAACTGCAGATGCAGTCCAGCAAGTTGACCTTTAAAAGGAGCAACTTGTGCAACTCTCAGTAACTTGCAAAAAGTGTAATGGTGGTTCATGAACTGTCATGGAAGTCATGACATTTCATGAATGGGCACCAAACTTCATGAAGCAGCATGAAGTGTCATACACAGTCATGCTGGTTCATGACAAACCATCATGAAATTTCATGAGGAGTCATGAACCTGCATGGGGGGTCATGATTGCTCATGACTTAAGTGGTTCTTCCAGGCAGGTTTTGAGTGGTTACATGCCTGTCTATGAAGTGTCATGAAGTGTCCTGAGCCTTCATGGGGCTTCATAAAGGATCATGGACCCTCATGGACCCTCATGGACCTTCATGAATCACTGTGAGTCTTCCCAAGAATCATTGTGATTGATCATAAATTAGGATTCTTGGTACAACAATGACAATTGGGGGCATAATGGTTAATTACATGTTACCCTTAAGTTGAAAGTGATATGAAAGCGTCATACAAGAAAGTCATGAATACCATCTGTCAGAGTGTGCATGTGCAGAGGTGTGGGTGGAAGCAAGTGGTGTGTCTGGAAGTGCTGTTTAGTGTTGGTGGAATGGGATTGCAGCCTCAGCAACTCAAGGGGAGTGCTGTGCCCTGAGCTTGACATCTGGGGGAGATCCCTTATTTGTGGAGCAGGGACTTATGGTGGACTTCAAGTAAACTCGGATGGAGCAGACCTGTTGGAGATAGGGCAAAACTCAGTGGGGACAGACTCAGAGGGGGGAGCCCCCTTTTTGCAGAAGTTGAGACTCTGTCCAGACAGGGGGGGTTGCTCTAGTTGATTTCAGACTAAGGTCCCTCAAAGTATTTACAAGGTATCAATAAGCATGGGAAGGGCCAGTTGGTCCAGTGCAGAAATGAGTGGGGATTGTTAAATTGAATCAAGGACAAGAACCCAGGTAATGGGAAGTGAAGAATGAATAAGTAAACAAATGAGTGGTGAGGGTTATCAGTGTGGGAAGAACAACTGAATGGGACTGACAACCTAGGTGCCAAGATAAAGTGGATCAAGTGCCAATATTGGTGCGTTAGGGTGAATGAATAGATAAATGTATTAGGTACTTAGCAAGAAATGAATCCATCTGTTACCACTCTCTCACTTCCCCACCACCTATCTTTCCCTGTCAGTCCTCTCCATAATTTGTCACTCAGCAGTGCCAATAGTTGACCCCATCCATGATCCCACATCGGCACCTTCTCCCTTCCCATCACCACTCTAACTTTCCTGATCACTTGGCTACATGCTATTCATTTATTTCCGAGCACCCACATGTCCTGTTCCTGCCCATTCACTTAACTTTAGTGGCACCTTTGATCTGTCCCTATATTGACACTTGATCTGTGTCAGGGCACACACCCTGACTAGCCCGGACCCGGACTCATGTCCGGACCTGCTACACTTCCTGTGCACATTCCCGTGCCACATGCTCCATGCACTGCATGCTCTGGCCCTGGATCCTGCCTTCATGTGACTTTGGATATTCCTGGAAGTTTTCCTGATATGGTGGCCACTGTGGGAAGATGAGAAGTTAGCTTCCTTCTCATCTCCTTACCCACAGTAGTTGTGCCCTGGATAGGGCTGGTTACACCAGAGACTGTGGACCATAGGGGAGGGTCATGGGGACCTGGGCGTCCCCTGACAATCTGCTACTATATTGGCACCCAGGTTGTCAGTTCTCTCAGGTTGCCTCCCTACTTTGCCTCTTTGTTTAATTGTTCATTCCACTCTCATTCATTCTCTCACTCTCTGTCTCCTTGGTTCTCATCCCTCATTTAGTTTGTTGTGTTCACCACTCTGCCTCCAGTTCAGGCACCAGACTGACTGGCCCCTCTTCTGTTCTCCCTTTCATATTTATGCATTGTAGATGACTTCATCTTCACTTGAGCCTACATCACTGCAAGGTTCCCTTCACTACACCTGAAATACAGGATAGCCTAGAGTGTGTGGCACAATGCTTCCACTGAGTTGTTGAAACCAACATCCCAACCCCCTGACACCCTGAAATGGAGTAACCTATCAGCTAAGTGATCACTCACACCACCATACTCTGCTCCACTTCCCATGAATACCTGTCAGGGCACACCTGCCTGACCTGGGTCCACCTGGACCCACCTGGCCACACCACACCTGCTCCCCGCTGTCCATCCCTCTCCTTTCTCCCTCCTCCCTCTCTCCCTCTTTCTTTTCTCTCTTTCTTCTCCTTTCTTTATTTCATTCTTCTCATCTCTCTCTTCCTTCTATCTACATGGACCACTTTCCTTTGTATCAATGTACTATTGACCCATCCAGCCCACACACCCCAGATGGCTTCCCGCTGCACCCAGCACACACACACACTCTTGGGATCCCCCACAGGGACACCCGGATGGCTGTGGCTGCCTCCAAGGATGATGTGGCACTTGTCATGTGACTCAAGCCACATGTACATAAATGTACCTGAAGTGGGAACTGAAGAACTTCTTCTCACATTCTCCACTTCAGTCTGAGTGGCCAGGGACTGCTGTCCCCTTCCAGACCTGCCAGTATGCATGCCTGGTTCACACCCTGCGAGGGCCCCTCTGCCGGGCAATACATCCGGACCCCCTCTACCCTGGACACGTCCCTGACAATACCCCCAAACACCATTTCTGACACCAAGCAGCAAAGGTGGCTGGAGGAAAAGCAGAGTTCAGTGCAAGTGCCAACACAAGTCCATGAGTTGGAGGTTGATCAATCAGTGCTGTCACAAATAAGGTCTGTGACATGACATGTTCATAAGTGCTTGTGACATCTCATGCATATTCATGCATGCTGATGACTCACCATACATCTCATGGAGCATTATGAATGTCCATGATGCATCATAGGACATTATAGCATTTTACATGCTCATCACAGAATTCCATCAGCACCACCCTTCTGCTCCTGCCCCTCCCTGCGTCTTTTTGAGCAGTTCTGGATGGACATCTGCAGGCAAAGATCAAAATAAACATATGACACTCCATGACACTCCATGAACTTCCATGGGGCATCATGTCATATTGTGTCACCAGCAGTCATGAACCTTGTCAGCACATGATGGTTCATGATGGTTCATGAAATTTGGTGACAGTTCATGACAATTTGTCACAAACTGTCATGAAATCCAAAATTTTCAATGTAAAAAATGTCTGATTCAATTGAATTGTCATGATGACATGTCATGACTGCTCATGATTTCATGATGCAGGATTACACTTTTGGAGAGTACCTCACAACTCTGCAGATGCACACTTAGGTGGAATCAATTATTTCCATGTTTGAAAGCTTGGCACAGGTGTAGATACTGAACACAAATCATATTCAGCTCCCATATATAAGCACTCGTGGTATGACATGTCTGAGTCTGCATAAGATAAAATCCTGCTTTCTCAGCATCTGGCACCCTCCATGAAATGACGTGATTAAAATCCCACTCCTTTCAGCCACTGCCAAGCCAGATGTGAAATGACATGATAACTGAGAAAATCCTATTCACAAAAATCCTACAGTGGAGGAGGATTTTTCATGAAATCCCGCCCCATTATGTGACAAAATGCCGGAATTATTTTTCTCAGTGCATGACACAATTGCCACATATGAAACAACCAGTACATGCCCTTGTCTCTGCCATAACAAATTCATGTGTGTACGTTCACATTCCTGCCTCTTTGGTAGACTAAAAGTATTAGAATTAAGACTATGTTGTGTTAGACTCAGACTCGAATAAGAGTTCTGAGGGAGAAAGTCTAAGAAATTCCTCCCTTATATACATGACATTCCTGAGTGGCAACGTCTTCATACAAAGGGAGTTTTAAGTTGAATAAGAAAGGGCAAAACGCCCCCAACACCTCATAGCACCCCAGAATAACCACTATGAATAACTGCCACACAACTTCCCAATGTAAACAAAGTTGGTGTTCTAATACGCCCACTCAACGATGATTAACATCGATAACACCCATGTCCTTCATAAATTTGTCATGTTTGGCCAGCACGAGTCCCTTAGTGAGAACGTTGGCCACCTGATCACCTGTTGGAACATAATCGAGCTCGACATCGCCATTACTGATGCATTCATGGATAAAGTGTTGCCTAATGCATATGTGTTTAGTACAAGCGTGGAAGGTGGGATTGGCAGCTAAGGCAAGAGTGCCTTGGTTGTCACCGAGAATAGTGTGTGGGATGGAAGGTGGACTGAGGACATCACCAAGGAATTGTTGTATCCATATGGCCTCTTTAGACACGTGTGTCAATGCCATGTATTCTCCCTCCATACTCAAAAGTGCTTGCTTCTTCAAGCTCCATGAGACAGCGGCTCCTGTGATCTTGAAAACAAATCCAGAAATAGATTGATGATTGCATGGGTTGCCAGCCCAATCGGAGTTGGAGTACCCTGTGAAGTCATTGTTGCATGTTTTACCGTTGTAAACCAACTTGTAGTTCTGTGAGTGATTCAGGTACCGGAAGATGCGGTTGATGGCAACAAGGTGATCCTTTCCAGGATTCACAGAATACTGACTAAGAGCACCCACTGCATATGCAATGTCGGGATGCATACCTAACATGGCATACATTACACTGCTGATACAAGATTGATAATCGCCAATATTGACTTCGGGTGCATCGAGTCGGGGTAGCTTAAAATTGGACGCAATTGGAGTCGAAATAGGGCGAGAATTAGTGAAATTAAAACAAGAGAGGATGTCTTTAACATAGCATGACTGGGAGATATAGATTAAGTGCCGCGGTCAATCGTGAGTGATCTCAAGTCCTAAAAACCAGTTGATCTCACCAAGGTCCTTCATATTGAATGCCTTCATGAGTTGGGCCTTTTTGTGGCTGAGTAGTTTGAGGCTGTTAGACAGAATCATGAGATCATCAATGTAGAGCGCGATGATACAGAAGATCTTCCCCTTCCCATGCTGAACAAACACAGCATGATCAGAGTCACATTGGAGAAACCTGAGTTTCCCAAACTCCTCT